AATCATGAATGTCTTATCGTTTAGTTTGCGGAGGTATTGGTAGCAAAAGTGTTCAAGTAATCTTACCTTCACTCATTCTTATATCAAAGTTAATTATTTCTTAACATTATCAGTACAGCTTAAATAAGAGTTATAGTTGTCATAGGCTGCTTGAAGTGACAAAGTATTGATAATTGAATTTGTCGTTGAATTATATTTAGCTTTACTTCCCAAAATATACTTTCACCCACGCTGGACTGGACGGAAATTCCGTCCACTCCTGTATCTCACCAGTGCTTTCGAACGTTGTGAAAACATGTTACAATAATACACTATGATACTCGCGTTCGATTCCCGATCTAGGTGCTAATGTCTGTTCAAAATTGCAGTACAGCCAAGCCGAGATGATGACATCTTTTCGGAGGCAAGAATAGGGGAAATTCAATTAGATCCCGAGGTGTATTGACGTGATTGTGGAAAAATTCAGGTACTAGTTCTTTATTGCCTTAAACCAAATAGGATGAATGCATTTCCTTTTTATGATCCGTTAGTAGTCCCAAAGACCTTCTTATAAACTACAATCACTCTAATGCTGTTTATCACATGACAGACGAAATCTTGGTATTGCCCAACACATAATTCTTCACTTTTTCAAAGCACTTCTCCTTTGTTCCTTCCTCACCTTAGGCCAACTAGAGTTTTCTCCATGTTCCCTCCATGTATGTTAATCCAATATGTGTAAGGCAATCAGCAGCAGATTAAAGATGTTATTTACCTGGACCTATCAGGTTATAAGGAATTAAAGATACTAGTCACAGCTACGGGAATTTCTCACATTTCCCCTTCTATAACATCATTTAAGCTGCTCAATTCTTTGGGAATATAGTAAATCATTGAGTTTATGTTCAGAAGATTGAAGTTTGTCGTAACAAATGTACTTTCTTTTTTTTATAAGGTTGGAGTCTTCACGCGAAGCCAATCTAGTGACACCAACTCCTTGCTCTGTCAGCCATTTGTTCGGCAGGTCAGTCCGATCGTCCAACACGGCAGCCAACTGATCTACGCGGCACCCACACTTTCAGCTGGAGTCCCTTCAGAAAGAGCATACTTTAGCCCTGAAGCCGCGCTCCTCGACTCCGAGAAGAGTCTGGCTCCGTTGCGGATTGCTCCGGCATCTGGCCTTACTCTGACTCAGCCCTATTCCTTCGCCGTAAGTGCCATCTACCCACAAACATGTAGATGGATGTAGAATGAAATTAGTCTGATTTAGCTACTTTACGAAAAGGGAAAAGGTAATGCGAATAGTCTCATTACGTAAAGTGGCCGAGACATTCCCAAAATTATTCTTTTCGATCATATATTAAAAGTAGTAAGTAAAATGTAGCACGAAGTGTACACGAAAGAACACTTAATATGAAACAGTGAAACATTTTGCCTCGGCATTCTAGCATCGCCACATGCAGAATGTCACCTCGCTATTGCTCCACCCACACTGAACTTTGATTCGGCCGCAGTCTCTATCTGTACCACATTGTCACATTTTGATGGTGTTTTGCATTCAGGTTGTGGTACCCTTAAGGGCTTAAGGGATTCGTTAATTGGCGTCATTTGAGATTGAGGCAGTTGTGAGTATGGATATGTCGGAGGTTGTTCACAGTGCATCGTCTGGCGACCTTCGTCTGCTCAAGCTGGGCAGATATCGTCGGAGTCAGAAAGGGGGATTAGCAAAATTTAACCAAAACCCGAAGCAAAGAAGCTGTCTATACCTAACTTTGCAATCTTACATGGTTCAGTTGGCTACTTCATGTTTAGCCTAAATGATTGCGCAAGAGTGAGGCTTGTGCATGAAGAGGATGCAGACTTGGTCTCAACTATGTATTTACTTAAATAAACTTGAATCTAATCCGACGATGTTGAAGCTAGCTAATTGTGTGTATGCAATAATCATAAGCCAGTTGGGAAACTCCTCTTCTTAGTCAGTGGTTCGCCCTGCTTTGTTTTCTTCTTGACGATCCGAAAATTGGTTGGGCAGACAAATTGAGTCGCCTTCTTTTCGAAGGTGGCTCAACACCATCTCTCTCTTTCAATCTATCA